ATGACCAGCAGCTTTTACAGCTGTGGCTCCAGCAAACATCAGCTGATACTAGAAATTAATATTAAATAAATTCTAACAACAGCTGATCAAGCTTAAACGTGCTGCTGTTTAGTGTGACCTCCGCTGGTTTCTGTTTCTGGCGCAGAGGGAAAAGCCGATCATTGATCAGTTTCATGATTGAATTAGCAACTTTCTAGCTGAAGTAGTACAGCACAAATCGCGTACCTTTTCACCTCAAGGTACCTCAACCTCAAGTTTGACCTCCTCGGCTGTAATTGGTCCAGCCCAGAGTCAATCATGACCAACTGGCTAATCCACCACCATTCATTTATACCGTTAAAAAAATAAAAGAAATAAAACCCCATCGGCCCATGAAAACGAAAAATCACGAGCAGCCCACTGGGAAAACACCTGGTATGCCCGATGGCCAGTCCAGCCCTGGTAATGTGTTAAAAACAATAAAATTAAGGTGGATATAATAACATAACAATAACTCTTCATGACTTCTCCACCACCTCCGACTCCTGCCAAAACAATCTGATCCATTTCCTGTGAGTTATGACAAAATAAAAGCATTCAGTTAAACTAACAGATGTCAGATAATTCTGCTTTTGTGTGATTTCAGGCTAAAACACTTGTGTGTGCGCCGATGGAGAGCTGTTACAGCAACCTGATGCACGATGATGGAAAAGGCCTCCTAAGCCTCGTCCTGTCCCTCATTGGATTAAACGTAAATCCTTCTAATTCACTCCAAATCCGAGCAGATTAGCCAGCAGGCGCTAATCTCTTTTATCTCTGCATCATTATTTAATATCAAATGGTAACTCTCTGGGGGGTCTGACTTTATTTTCACTTGTATTTTGAAAAACTAAACTGAATTAGTGGTTTATAAAGAAGCAGCTGATTTTTCTGTATCAGTGAATCTGTCGGTAATTCTGGTTCATTCTAGCTAATTCTAGGTTTTTGTTTTATTTTGGTTTGTGTCACTGATGGCAACATTGTCTAACGAACACAAGCTTCAAAATATTCAGTTCACGGAATATAATGGATCCAAATATTCCCATATATCCTTGTTTTTGTTGCTGAACTGGCCAATCAGGATGCCTGATCAATAT